GGACGAAAAAGGATGTTGGATCACTAAGAATTATATGAGCTAAAAGTGTTTCATGGATGTTCTTTATCCGTTGTTGGTGTTATTTTCCTCATTTCCCTTTTTCTGATTTCCTTCGGGTGATCTGACATTTTTAAATTCTATTTTTATTTTTACAGTGACATTAATTGACATTAATGACTTTTTGCATTACAGTTTTACTCGTTGCTCTTAGGATAATATGCGTTCCTACATTTCAGCTTACCTAAAGTTAGTAACGTAGTAATTTACATAAAATATAGAGATCCTGAGACCTTGTATGTTTATTTTCCTCCTTCTGCCTTTATGTTAATGTTGTCATGTCTTATATCTCTCTATGAAAAGACTCCAGAAGACTATATTACAATTTTTATTTGATAAGTTTTATGGATTTTAAAGGAATTGATAGGAATATATGTGTACAGTAAACTAAGGATTTCTTATTTTAGATTTTCTTCGTTTATTCCTGAAAATCAAACATTTCCATTTTCCCTACTGATGTCTTGCTCTCTGGTTGTATCATCAAGGTTACTGTTATAACAAGAGTGATTTGATTCCTCTTAGATATTTGAAAGGCTAGACAGTACCTTCTAGAATTGTCCAGCCAGCTTTAAAATGGGGTGGGGGATGGGGAATGCTTATGTACTGTCCTCCAGCCTCCATTAATTGAAGTTTCTCCTGGGAAACAATGAGATATCACTTCATACAAGTCAGAATGGCTATCATCAGAAAGTAAAAAAATAACAAGTGTTGCCTTAACTGCTTCCACACTGGGATGTACTTGTCTGTGGACAATACAGCTTACTTATGGTTTCCCAGAAGGCCTTCTGTTTCAGAGGAGGAGAGGACTACTACAGTAGAGTTTTGACAGTTAGTACTAGATGTTGAAGACTGACAATGTGAATCAGAATCACATAGCTCGAGTTGTTTGGATTCCTCAATTTCAGTTCTCCCATCTGAAAAATGATCATAATAAAACTGCCTACATCATAAAAATTGTACTGAGGATTAAAAATATGCAAAATGTGAAGCACATTTCATGCCAAAAGTTAATTTTTAATGAATATTGGTTCTCATTATTTTCCTGGTAGTAAACCAAGTTCCTCAAAAGTGGAGTGCCAGGGGTTGAGATAGGAAAATTTAAAATCAGCAACAATAAAAAAAGACATACTAAATGAGAGAAAATATTGGCAAATGATATATCTAATAAGGTGTTAATATCTAAAGTATATAAAGAACACATACAACCCAGTAACAACAAAAAAAATCACATTTAAAAATAAACAGAGGAACTAAACAGATTTCTACAAAGAGGACATATAGATGGCCAACAGAAATATGAAAAGATGCTCAACATTACATCAGCAGGAGAACACAAATGCAAATCAAAACCACAATATCACTTTATACAAGTCAGAATGGGAATCATCAAAAAGTAAAAATATAACAAGTGTTGCCGAAAATGTACAGAAAATGAAATGTTTGTGCACCATTGGTGGGATTGTAAATTGGTGTACCCACTATGAAAATCAGTCTGGAGGTTCCTCAAAAAGTTGACAGTAGAACTACCATATGACTCCACAATTCTACTTCTGGATATTTATCTGAAGACAACAAAAGCACTAATTTGAGCAGATAAATGCACCCTTATTTTCATTGAAGCATTTTATAATAGCCAAGATATGGAAGCAACCACAGTGTCAATGATAGATAAATAGATAAGGAAGATTTTATAATAAAATATTTTTCAGTGATAAGAAAGAATGAAATCTTTCCATTTACAAAAACATGAAAGGGCCCACAGGGTACTATGCTACTTGAAGTAAGCCAGACAGAGAAAGACAAACACCATATGATTTCACTTATATGTGGAATCTTCAAAACAAATAAAACAAAACATAAACAGACTCATAGGTACACAGAAGAGATTGGCGGTTGCTGGGGAGGGAGGTGAAAAAGGTAAAAGCGAGTAAGAGGAACCAACTTCCAGTTATAAAAAGAATCCATGAGGACGTAAAGCATAGGGAATATAGTCAATAATATCATACTCTATACAGTGACAGATGACTAGACTTATTGTGGCGATCACATCATAAGGTCAATAAATGTCAGATCACTATGTTGTATGCTTGAAACTAATATGATATTGTATGCCAACAACAGATTAATAAAAAGCTTTTAAAAATTAAAGAAATAAAATTAGGATTCATAAGAGAATTAGGTAAGATTAAACCTAGGGTGGAAGACACCTGTATTCCACCATCATCCACCTACACCATAAGTGATCACACCAGGAGGCAACATCTGAGGTTACTGTCAGTGAGAGACTATTCCTCAACTGAAATTCATCCACATACTTTTTTTCTTTAAACTTAGATACAACTTTCAAAACTTTCATTTTTTCACATTTAATATTATAAATAAATGTAAATGTCTTAAAAATTTGTTTTATTTAAAATTCGATTTTACACCAAGTTCCAACTTATATGTCCCCAAAGTAATTAATGGCACTCTTATAAATATCGATAGAAAATATTTATCAATAAACACACACTGAATGGATAAAGCTAAGGTTACCTTTTTATACCGGAACTTTAGTATTGAATATTTCTTAATCTGAAATATCAAAGTAAACGTGGAACCAGTATTTGCCTATGAGACAATTTATTATATTATACTCTAATAATTATTAAATGAAGGTTATGCAACTATGTGTGAACACCTAGGCAGAAGCAAAAGAATAAACTGACCACCTGGGAACTGCCAGAAGACTAGAAGATTAGTTGTTTGTGTGTGTGTGGATTGAACTGCTTGCTCATTATCCACTATAGAACATAATGATGCTACATGATGTTGCTGAACTCTCATTCCAATCTCTAGAATCTTCAGAGATTTATCCCCAAAGGAAACAAAAATTAAAGGTAACACTATAACTACAACGACTTCGATCTGTTAGTAAAAGATGAATGACTTCTTATTCTAAGAGGTAAGATTTTCCCTTTTGTTAATGAATCTGATGTACTGACATTCATTTACTGTTTGAAAACACTTTACTCCCTAAAATTATATCTGTACTCACAAGTCATAGTTGTGAAACAGGGCAGATGTAAATAAAGCAATCAGCTAGCAAGCAACTTTGGCTAAATAGCTGTTTCCACCATTAGTTCATGTGTAAACAGGCATAATCTAAGTTACCAGGATTCCTGTTTATTTACCCGTAAGATGGAAACTCATATGGTCTTTCAACACTACCCAAACTTGGCACTCTCTAATAATGCTAACTAATTCACTGTCTCTGAGATACCCTGGGCCTTTATTGATATGTAAGAATTTGAAGATTTAAATAGAAGATTTAAAAATTTAAAGGTATTACAAATATCTGTGCAGAAAGACTGACTTTGTTTCTCTCTCCGAATGCTTTAGCGTGAAGGCAATGATGCATAGACAAAGCTCAGGATACAAAGTCAGAAAATGCGGAGATGAGAATCAACTTGGCCAAAAGCTGGGTGATCCATTTTCAATTATTAGTCTACACTTGATTCAGCCACATATTATGTTGAAAATAGGATTACTTCACTTTACAAAACTTTCATTAGAAAACATTGTTACAGTAGGAAGTAATTTGATGTAGTTTAATTATCTTCTAAATACAATCATGCTTTTTTGCAGTGATTACATTAATATTTGTAATTGTTTGATAGTATAGTAATATTCTGAATTTCAAATATTTTTAAAGTATCCAATATATGTACAATGAGTGATCTCATTCATAACCCTAAATTGAAATTCCTATATGGATTAGTATCCGGACAAATTTT